GGGAGGATCTTTTTTGGAAGGAAAATAGGATGATTTGGAAGTAAAGTTTCAAAATGTTCTCATCCTTATATGATTTTGTTGTTGAAAACCTTGTGTGTCCCCAAGTTCTTTTATAGCTACCCTTAAACACACACACACATACACCACACACACACAAAAGGAATTTTTAACTTGCTTATAAAACTCTTCCAAATCAAGTGTTTGAGTGGGTTTTCAACCCATTCGCTAAAAGTTTTAAAATGCAACATATTCCAATTTCGTGGTGAGGACAACTGACTGACATGAGAGAAGATGGAAATTTAAAAGTCAATTCTGAACAGAACTTTGGCATAATGGGTGGATGGCATTGAAAACTGACAGCTGAATGTCATGGTTTAATGAGCCAGGCCCACAATGCATTGCATCCGTCGGGCGGGGGGGGGGTAGGTGTCTTCACGAGGCCCCCTCTTCAGCTGTGACAGCCTTTAACACTGAATATTGAAATAAACCAAATTTAGTCCCAGGCCTTCATGTCGCTCTTCCATAAAGTGTCAAACCAGGATTTTCAAAAATAAAGAAGCACATTTAATGGCATTGCTCCCATTGTGAGAACAAAAAGGGATTTTTGTGCCATTATTAAGTGAAATGCCATAAAAATTACTTTAAAACTGTATTGATTACATTTTTCATTTTTGTTTATCTAGTTTTATAATGTGCATAACATAATATGCATAATGTTTAATTTATTTATGTAAGTATAATGTGTATAATGTATTTGATCATGTTCATACATTTTTTAAATGTGCATCTAATGTATATTCATGCATCTAGCTCATGTACATAATTTATAAAACTCTATGTATAAAGTTATAAATAAATAGATGCCAGGGGTGCCTGCTTAACATTTTGTACCGATGATGTATGAACAATCAAGTTTGAGTTCAAGGGCGACTGGGCACCTCAGGGCCCCTCCAGCTCTGGTATTAGAGACTGCAGGGACCCACCCTCTATAGGCAGAGGGCATTCATAAGAAAGATATTCCTGGATTGGGCCTCACCTAGCATGCAGGGAGAGTTTCAGGCATGCACATTTTTTTAAAGTTTTTTAAATTGAGTTTTGAGAGAGAGAGAAAAACATCCATGTGAGAGAGAAACAATTGGCTGCCTCTTACATGCAGGAATGAACTTGCAGCTGAAGCATGTGCCCCTGACAGGGAATCGAACCAGCAACCTTTTAGTGCACGGGACGCCCACTACACCCAACCCAGGCATGCACATTTCACAGCTAAGACGTCAGAGATGCAGAAGAATAAAATCTGAGATGTGTTCCACCTCCCGGGGCATCCCCATCATAAAGACCAGAATCTCCTCCCCAGGAGTAATCCCTCACTCTCCTCCTCACCCCTCTCCCCCTGCCACGGAGAGGGAAAGCGAGCCTTCCCTCCCGCTCAGCGGGAATTGGTGGCCCTGGGAGGGTCTTTCCGGGTGGGCCCAGCAAATTGGCCGTGGAGAATAAGTGTAAATTCAGGCATCCAGAGTGCAGTCTGGCCTTCTATCTGCTCTGCTCTCTCTGCACCTTGTTGCAGAGCCTGGTTTTCAGTCACCAAAATGCTCACTATCCTCTCTGTTGGGAATCGCTGCCTCGCACGCTACAGATAGAGCCAAGGATGTTCAGGAGCCTACCCACCCGTGTCAGTTCTCTGCCCCATCCTAGCAAAGAACATCCCTTCCCCAAAGAAGAGAACCCCAGAGAAAAAGTCAGGCCTACTCCACTGCTACCCTCACATCATCATCTGCCCAGAGCAGAACGATTGTTCTTTGGCACAAATATGTTCATGCCGCTCCCTCCCTGCTCTGCTCTGCTTGGAAACTTCCTCTGGAGAGTATGTGCTAAGTGAAATAAGCTAGACAGAGAAAGGCAAATGACATATGGTTTCACGTATATGCAGAATCTAAAACAAAACAAAAAAAATAAACAAAACAGAAACAAACTCATAGATACAGAGAGCATTTTGATGGTTGCCAGAGGGGAGGGGCTTGGGCTGTTGAATGAAAAAGAGGAAAGCATTAAGATGTGCAAATGGCCAAGACCGGTTTGGCTCAGTGAATAGAGCGTCGGCTTGGGGACTGAAGGGTCCCGGGTCCGATTCCAGTCAAGGGCATGTACCTTGGTTGCGGGCATATCCCCAGTAAGGGGTGTGCAAGAGGCAGCTGATCGATGACTCTCTCTCATCGATGTTTCTAACTCTCTCTCTCTCACTTCCTCTCTGTACAAAATCAATAAAATATATTAAAAAAAAAAAAAAAGATGTGCAAATGGCCAGTTATAAAATAGTCATGGGGATGTAAAGTACCGCACAGGGAATATGATCAATAATTCTGTAATAACTATGTATGGTGTCAGTTGGGTGCTAGCCTTATGGGGGTGGCCACTCCGTAAGTAATTTACATGTCTAATCACTATGTTTTACACCTGAAACTAATATGTATTGCATGTCCACTGTAATGGGAAATTTTAAAACAATTTTTAAATAAATAAATGAAAATAATTTTTTAAAAATGCTTAAGCTGCCGAAACTGGTTTGGCTCAGTGGATAGAGCATCGTCTGCGGACTGAAGGGTCCCAGGTTTGATTCCGGTCAAGGGCATGTATATTGGTTTCAGGCACATCCCCAGTGGGGGGTGTACATGAGGCAGCTGGTCGATGTATCTCTCTCATCGATGTTTCTGGCTCTCTATCCCTCTCCCTTCCTCTCTGTGAAAAATCAATAAAAATATATTTTTTAAATGCTTAAGCTTCCTCTGTATCTCCATTGCTCACAACAGAAAAGCCACATTGCTTAGGCCAACCCGCAGGTCCTTCTCTTCCCCCCACCCCCTCCCGACCTCACCCCCAACCCACCTGCATCAGTCACCAGCAGGAAGCAGAAACCGCAGGAGCTAATTTCAGCGGAAAGGAATTTCATGCAGGTAATTCAGTACTTACTAAATCTGGGAGGGTTAGAGCAGCAGCTACACCTGCAGGAATGTCTCCCAGAGACACACGCAGGACCCACCTCGGAACTGCCCCCTCTGGCATCATCCAGAAGATAAGGAATCAGGAGCCACCCAGACTCGGCTGCCTTCAAGAACCATCACTTAATGAACACAAGGGAATTCAGGAAGTCATTTCAGCAACAACCCACGCCTGTGCACCAGGTGCCGGAAGGCAGCTGCCCCAAAACCCAGCGTCTCCATAACCCTGCAGACCGGCAGCTACAAGCCACGCCCCAGCCCACGCGGTCCATGGGGTCTGCTGTCCAGCCAGGATTCCTGCGGCAAGGGCGGTGAGAAGGACAGCCGGCCGGAAGGCTCACTAAGGGAAGACAGAATAGAGGCAAAGCTATACACACACTGTCTTTCCAAATTCTTCGTCCTACGCTCTTCCCACACTCGTCCTGAATCCCAGCCTCAGAGACCTCTGCAAGGGTCCCCGGGTCACCCCAAGCTCTTTCTCGCCTCTCTGACCTCCCCCAGGCTGGTCACCAGCCCCCTCCACTCCAAATGTCCTTCGAGAACCTGAGATACTTTCTCTGACTCCCTCAGGCAGGGGTTACTGCAGCCCGAAGTCGTCCAAAGAAACATGATGCAGCTGAAACCGGTTTGACTCAGTGGATAGAGCATTGGCCTGCGGACTCAAGGGTCCCAGGTTCGATTCCGGTCAAGGGCATGAACATTGGTTGCGGGCACATCCCCGGTAGCGGGTGTACAGGAGGCAGCTGGTTGGTGTTTCTCTCTCATCCATGTTTCTGGCTCTCTATCCCTCTCCCTTCCGCTCTGTCAAAAATTAATAAAATATATTTAAAAGAAAAAGAAAGAAACATAATGCAAATCACAGACGTAATTCAAAATTTTCTAATAGCTACCCACATGTAGTAGGTTGAATAATGGCCGCCCAAAAATATCAAATCCTAGCCCCTATCGCTCTTACCTGGTTTGGCTGTCCTGAAGGATTTTAAGATGAGATTACCCTGGATTATCCAGGTGGGTCCTAGAAGCCATCAGTGGAGAAGCAAAATGAGGTAATAGAGGAGAAGGCAGCGCAGAGAGGAGGCAGAGACTAGAGCGATGGGGATTCTGGGGCGGCCACAGGAGGTGGGAGAGGCAAGGACCAGATTCTTCCCGGGTTATAGTTCATCAATATCAACATTATACTATCATTCCAACATGTGATTAATATAAAACTGGTGAGATCGCTTCCGTTCTCTTTTCCATACAAAGTTTTTTGTTTGTTTGTTTTTATATTTTATTGATTTTTCACAGAGAGGAAGGGAGAAGGATAGAGAGTGAGAGAGAAACATTGATCAGCTGCCTCCTGCACACCCCCCACTGGGGATGTGCCTGCAACCAAGGTACATGCCCTTGACCGGAATCGAACCTGAGACCTTTCAGCCCGCAGGCCAACGCTCTATCCACTGAGCCACACCGGTTTCGGCCCGTACAAAGTTTTTGAATTCTGATTTGCATCTCACACCTATAACAGCATCTCACTTCAGACGAGTGGGATGGAACAGTGTCAACAGCCTGTTTCAGGCCGTCCGTGGAGGGGAAGTCACAGAGTCCGTGATGGAGACACATCAGGAAACAGTGTGAAAGCAAAGGCTGTGCTCCGTGATTGACAGGAGCGGCGGTGACTGCGCAGGGAGTCCCCCGGAGAAGGTCCCCCAGCCGAGCTCCAGCCTGAGCTCAAAGCTCCGTTCCGGACCAAAGAGAAAAAGGAGAAAAGACAGAACCTGTGCGCAGCCTCCATTCCCAGGAGCCCCTGTGCTCCCAGGATGCCCTGCTCTGGGAAGGGTCTCCTGCCCAGGGCCATCCCGCCTTCCCAAGGTCAAGGACTTCACTCTCTGCAAGCTCTGCCAGCCCACGGCCCCTCCCCCGGCTGGCACGTGGTCAGAGGAATGCCCAGAGCCAGCGCACCTTGGTCTTAACAAGTCCCTGCCCAGCCAAGCAGGGCTCCCCTGATCATGTGATGCCTGTGGGGGCAAGGCGGGGGCCGAGGGCCGGGGAAGCAGGGAGTCTGGGAGCCCCTCACACACAAGCCCGGCCCCAGCCCCCCTCAGGCCGGGCCAGGCCCCCGCCCGATGCCTCCCTTCCCTGTGCCGGGGCCAACCCCACCTGAGGCCTGAGCCCACAGACGGGAGAGGGGTGGGGCCTGGCGGCTGTCAGCCACGAGTAGGGCCCTGAGAGGAGGAGGGAGGGCAGGATCGTGGGTGCTCTTAAGTCTGAGGTGAACTGCGCCTTCCCTCACTCCTCACCTGCTCTCGGAGCTGTCTGATCCCCGGAGCCAGGAGTGAATGCGGCCGCTGCCCGCCCCGGGCCCCAGGTAGGCGCCTTCCTTCTGCAAGGAGCTCTGGGCCAGCTCCTTCCCAGCCGACTCCTTTCACCACGAGTCCTCTTTCTCTCCGCGTCTGGGGCCCCGGCTCAGGGCGCAGGTGGGGAGAAACGGGGAAGAGGCTGTGGACCAGAGAGACAGGGTCTCAGGACCCCAGACCGGGGAGTTTGACACTTTAAGGGAGCAAATCTGCACCCTTCTGAGGACCGATGAGAGAACTGAGGTGCAGGGAGGGGAAGGGGTTTGCCCAAGGTCATGGGGACCTGGGGGGAGGGTCGGGCACAGGACCAGGCCTCCCGCCTCCCAGCCTGGCCCTGAGACCCGGTGCTGGGCCCCTCAGGCTGCTGGGCACCCAGAGGTGGGGGGCCAGGGCCTGCGCTGATCCTGCAGTCCCTGGGTCTGGGTGGAGAGGATGGGACAGCCGGAAGCCACTCTTCCAGGATGGCGGTGAGTAGGGGTTGGACTATGGAGGCAAGGGGCTTTGGGGAGCCTCAGGGTCCACTCTCCTACCCTCTCCCTTCGCTGAACTGGGCCTGTGGGAGGTTGGCTATGAAGCAGAGATGTGCCAAGGTAACAGGATCCCCCGCCTCTGAGCTCAGCGGAACAAAGAAAGAGATCTGAGTCCAAACCTGAAGGGGGAGTGGGTGGGAGGGACCTATAAATAGGATTGATCTGGCTGGAGCCCTCCCTGCCCACCCTATACCCCCACCCCACCCCCTATACACACACACAGCCCGGAGCCCCAGGAACCCTGGCCTGCCCCTCCGAGCCGGGAAGAAAGCTAGCCAGGTGCACTGGTGGGGCAGGATATCCAGGAATAAAACACTGAGCCCAGGCCCTGCCCGGGGAGGTCTAGGCTGATCCGGGGACTGTTCAGCGTGAGGAGCCTCCCAGGTGTGCCCCTCGGGTTCCAGAACCCCAGGCTGGAGAGAGGGGGAAGGGGTCCTAAATTGATGAAGCAGAGGCACAGGGCGGGGGAGCCTCGACCCAATCCCACCCCGGGGCCCTGTGGGCTGTGTGACCCCGGGCAAATCCCTGAGCCTCACAGAACCGTTGAGAAAATGAAATGAGTAGTTTTAAGTATGTATCTGTCATTCTATTATCCCCATTATGGAGATGGGACAGTGAAGCCCAGAGAGGAGAGGACCCTTGCCCAGGGCGGCACAAAAGCAGTTTCCAAACCAGTAGGCAGGCATCCTGGGTCCCCATCCTGGGGGGAGACTCAGGCCCCCCCATGTCCTCCATAAAGTCCACACCCAGCCTGCTCTGCGGGGCCCAGACAGAAACCCTGCAGGGTCCGCCAATTCCTGCCCCCAGCAAAGCGGGGCTCTGGGAGCACGTGAGGGGAAAGCCACAGCTCCATGTCCTCAGCTGCCCCCGGAAGGAGCTCCGAGGCCGGCTCCCGTCCACGGCCATTTATAGACAGGCTGCCGGAGCCGGGACCCGGCCCAGGAGACGCACAGCAGGGGCCTGGCTCTTCTCCTCCCCTTACTGGGGGACTTGGGCAAATCCCATCCCCCTCTGGACCTCAGGGTCCCCTCTGTATGTGAACTCAATGTGGTACAAGGAGTTAAGAGCCCAGCCAAGACCGGTTTGGCTCAGTGGATAGAGCGTCGGCCTGCAGACTGAAGGGTCCCAGGTTCGATTCCGGTCAAGGGCATGTACCTTGGTTGCGGGCATATCCCCAGTAAGGGGTGTGTGTGCAGGAGGCAGCTGGTCGATGACTCTCATCGATGTTTCTATCTCTCTCTCACTCCCTATCTGTAAAAAATCAATAAAATATATATTAAAAAAAAAAGTTTACAAAAAAAAGGAGTTTACAGCCCGAAGCCCCAGGGCCTGGGTTCGAATCCCAGCTCTAACACTTTTCTTCACCTCTCTGAGTCTCCGTGTCTTCATCTGTAAAACAGGCTGGTACTCGGGGTGCAGAACTTCCTCAGAGAGTGAGCACGTGTAACACGCATAGATGGGCTCCTGGCACGTGGGGAGTGCTCGCTAAATGGGAGTTATTCTATTTCTTCTTATGCAGTTGTTCTACTCCAGACAAGCCCTCATTTCTAAGTAGCATTTAGAGTTATCCAGCTGCTTTCACAAGCAGCACCCCATTGGATCCGTGTGGCTCCCTGGCAGGGGCCGGGGGGGAGGGGGTGCAGGGCAGGAATTCTTCCTTCATTAAGGAATTAATCCTTCATTAAGGAACGGTGTGAGCTGGGAATCGAACCTGAATCTTCAGGCTCCAGAGTCCGTACTCATCTCATTTGCCCGGGTCGGCCTCTACCTTTTCCGGCACTGGGCGACCGACTCTATACAAAGCAGGATGTGATGGCAGCGTCTTGGAAACAGGGAGAAGCAGAGTTGAGGAGTATTGGGGGGCAAGTGGGGAGGGTGGTGGCATGCAGTGGCAGCGTGCCCAGCGTGTCCCGGCTGCTTCCAGTTTCCTTGGCAGCCTCAGTCCTAGAACCCCTGGCCGCCTACCCAGCCCCACCTGTAGGGAAGTACTAGCAGGTGGCATTAGGTGAGACAGCAGGAAGAACTTTCCACAGGAAGGGAGCGGAGGAAGCTGAGGCATCTCTTTCCTGGATGGGCCCCCAGGGAGGGAATATCACCTGCTGACGTCACTCCCTACCTCAAAAACGGTTCTGTAGCCCGCCCTGGCCCTCAGGGTTGAGACACCACTACGGAGCCCAGCCTGCAAGGCTCTGCAGGGTCTGGCCAACTTGGCCCTCCACCCACCCCCACCCCATCTTTTTCTCCATCTACCCTGGGAGTTCCCTGTTTGCCAGGTGCTCCAGAATGCCTCCTGATCCCCCCTGTCTCTCAGGCTTCTGAAAACACCTGCCTCATCCCCGCCTCCCTGGCCAGCTAGCTCCTGCTTTCTCTTCTCACCTTCCTTTACATGCTTCTTCCTCCAGGAAGCCCTCCCTGACCTCCCCCACCCGTGCCTACTGAGTCCCCTCTGCTTCCCCGCCTCCCCGGTGACACTGCGTACGATTGCTCCCCTGCTCACTCGGTTTCACACCCCGGCCCCTGGGAAGTAGCCGCTATAGTCAGCCTGGGGTCCGGCTCCGACACTTGTTGGCCACGCCCCCCTGGGCCAGCTCCTTTCTTCTCTGTGTTCCCCTCCTCACATTGTAAGGTGGTATAATTACAGGGTTCCCTCCGAGGCTGTTATGAGGATTTTTTAAAGACTGTGTGGGTAAACAGCAGTGCCTATGCACACAGAAATTGTTCGGTAAACATTAGCTAGTGTTTATTTAACAAATAAGGCTGGGACATCGAGGGTATTTAATAAACTTCTATTGACGTTGTTTTATTTAACAATAACTTGCACACTGCTCAGTCTGTGCCAGGCGCTCTCTGGCACATGTTGCAAACATGAACTCATTTTGTAAATAAGGAAACTGAGGCCCAGGGCAGTGAATTAACCTGCCCAGGGTTACACGGCCAGTTGAGGGGTGGAGCCAGGATGCAAACCCAGCATCCATGAAATGAATGCATCCATATGCTTTTGGGTTTTTGTTTTGTTTTGTTTTTTATTAAATTTTTTACAGAGAGGAAGGGAGAAGAATAGAGAGCTAGAAACATCGATGAGAGAGAATCATCGACCAGCTGCCTCTTGCACACCTCCTACCGGGGATGTGCCCGCAACCAAGGTACATGCCCCTGACCGGAATCGAACCTGGGACCTTTCAGTCAGCAGACCGACGCTCCACCCACTGAGCCACACTGGTTTCGGCGATATGCTTTTGTTTTGGAGGGACAAGGCAGGGGCTTCATCTACAAAAGACACTCAGCTGCCACCCTGTCCTCTTTCAGGTCCTGGACGCTCCTGGTTGGCGAGTGACACCTCTGGGACCTGCGTGAGGCTGGTGAGAAGCCCGAGCTGCCCTGCCGGGTGGCTGCCCCGCCATGTCGCAGGTGATGCCCAGTCCCCTGCTGGCAGGAGGCCACGCCGTCCGCCTGCCTCCCTGCGAAGAGCCCAGGAGGGTCCTGCACCCGGCACCCAGCCCCAGCCTGCCACCCCAGTGTGCCTACTACACCACCGAAGGCTGGGGGGCCCAGGCCCTGATGACCCCCGTGCCCCGCAAGGAGCCCCCCAGCCGGCTCCCACAGGCCCCACAGGCAGGAGCCAAAGCCAGCTGCCTCCTGCGGGGGCCTGGCCAGCAGCCCTCGGTGGCCCTGGAGGACCTGGACGCCTGCATCGGCTTCTCCCTGGAGAGCCTCAACCAGATGATTCTGGAACTGGACCCCACCTTCCAGCTGCTCCCCACAGTGGCCGGCGGCCCGTGGGCCGAGCCCGCCCAGAGCACCACCTCGCAGAGGAAGAAAGAAGAGCCTGACGCTTTGGGTAAGGACAGGGGCGCAGCGCCAGGAGGGGGGCTTGGGCACCGGGCCTGGTGCAGAAGGAACTTCCTGTAGACTCACAGGAGAGGAGGCGTGTCCTGCGGGGAGATGACCTGCAGCCCTAGCGACTTCCTGAACTTCTCTGCTTTTTCTGCCACCCAAAGGGAAAAATACAAGCATCCCTCACTCTCCCCCCTTCTTTGTGGCTCCTGCCTTTGGAAACTCAGTGATGGGTACCTGTGTTGTGGGATTTTTCAGAGAATGTAAATAAGCTAATGATATGTTTTCTCCTACAACTCCATGCGTGATGCATGTGGGGTCCCTGAACCTTGCTACCCTATTGTGTCTCTCCTGGGGTCCTCACCTGGGCCCCTTACATTTTGGGTAGGATTTCTGTTTGAACCCCTGTTCAGGGGAGTATTACTCTGGGACTGGAAGGAGGAGGGCTGGAGAGACACAGAGTTCAGCCTGGTTAGGGTGGTAACCCCATTGTGTTTAAGCAGCAGGGTGCTAGTCAATGTTTAACAGCCGGCTTCCTGGTGGGATGGGAGAGAGCCCGGATGTGAAGCTTGTACCAATTTCCACGGTGTCAATTCTCCCACTCCCAGGTTCAGGCTACCAATGTGACGTCACTGAATGTGGCATTAGAAAGAGATGCACAGCAGCAGGCCACGGCACAGTACAGAATTCACACCTCACCAATACAGCAGATGTAAATAACCTCAAGAGTATGGATAATAGAAAAGAAAAAAAATAGTGAGATCACTGGGATGTGATGAATTTGGAGTGTTTATCACTTCTGTTTTTCATATAAGTTGTTTCATTGTAACTTTATATACTTTAATTTTTTAAATATATTTTATTTATTTTCTTACAGAGAGGAAGGGAGAGGAATAGAGAGTTAGAAACAGCAATGAGAGAGAAACATCGATCAGCTGCCTCCTACACACCCCTTACTGGGGATGTGCCCACAACCAAGGTACATGCCCTTGACCGAAATCGAACCTGGGACCCTTCAGTCCGATGGCTGACGCTCTATCCACTGAGCCAAACCGGTCAGGGCCATACTTTAATGTTTAATAATGCCTGAGTTTAGCAACCAGCTGGACAAAAATCCTGAACATCTAACAACCAACTTCCCTGAGCTGGTACAAGCCACCTCCAGTACACCCCTGAGCCTCGGACATCTAGAAGTCCCTGCCTCTGGCTCCAGTTACCCAAACAGACTTTTCCGTGTACTCTGAAGGTGAAGGTCAAGGAGCAGCAGCTCCATTAGACAGGCTGGAAGACCGAGGCTCCCCGGGACTTAAACCATCAACGTGGGCCAAGGGGTGTGGTTAGGGTTAGAGATAGGATCCATGAGAATGTCTACTCCTTGAGCGCTTACTCTGCCCAGGCACTGTTCTGAGCATTGGCTAGCGGAACCTTTCATCCTCCCAGTTGACCCCCAAGAGATGACCGTGTTAGCCTCATTTTACAGATGAGCAAACCGAGGCTCATAGGCTTGCGTAAGGAGCCGAGCTAGCCTAGTCACCTGGGCCGGGCAAACCTTACACAAGCTGTTTACTCCCCTTCTCCGTGTCTCAGATTCCTCGTCCATAAAACATAAGTGAGTTCTTACCTCAAAGGGATTGAAAGAAACACCACCGGTGGTGGGTTGATCGCCATTCCCGGGCCCTGTGAGTGAGTCATTATGAACAGCGGTTGCCTCATTAAACACGGGGGTTGTGTTCAGCACCCGCCCCAGGGCAGGCTCAGGCTCTGGGGTGAAAGTGAGAGCCCAGCACCCAGGTCCTCCGGCGCCCAGGATCCTGACCCGCCTTCGGTCCCTCCCACCCACCACGCTGCCTGCCAGGCCTCTTAAAAGCACTGCCTCCAGCCCTCAGGGGCCTCCCTGCTTCTTAAGGCCAGCGCCGGGCATGCCCCTGCAGGAGGGTGGTTTGGGCCTAATTGCTGTTGGCAGGAGCGAGCCCTGGGCTTCCACGTTCCTGCCCCAAGGCAGGGGTTCCACACACTCAAGGCCCTGGGGTAGACAGTCCCTGGGGAGCGGCCCCAGGCATGTGGGTGCAGGTGTTGATGACCAGGCTCTTCCTCCAGGGGTGACGGGCAGTGAGCAGTCTGCACTCTCAGATGCCCTGGGCACGGCCTGCCATGCTGAGATGTGTCCACAGGACCCAGGCACTAGGAAGGCAGCAGTGACCAGGCGGTCCTAAACGAGCTGCCTAGCTCTGTCCCAGCCCCTTCAGATGGCATCTTTTAAAAATATATTTTATTGATTTTTTACAAAGAGGATGGGAGAGGGATAGAGAGAAACATTGATGAGAGAGAAACTTCGATCAGCTGCCTCCTGCACACCCCCTACTGGGGATGTGCCCACAACCACAGTACATGCCCTTGACTGGAATCGAACCTGGGACCTTTCAGTCCGCAGGCCAATGCTCTATCCACTGAGCCAAACCGGTTTCAGCACACAGTTTACTCTTGTATTATTATTTATTAACTAGAGGCCTGATGCACAAAATTCATGCAAGGGGCTCAGCCCTCACCACCCAGGCTTCATCCGGAAGGGTGTCCGGGCGGTTGTTCTGCTGTTCGGTCTAATTAGCATATTAGCTCTTTATTACATAGAATTATTGTATTGTTCTCCATACAAACAACTATAAAGCTATTTTTGCCCACCCGGTGTATGCAGAAGGTTTGGGTAATGCATGATCCCAGCATCTACCCTGCAAAGGGAAGAGTGATAAGCTCATTTTACAGCTGAGAACGTTGAAGGGCAGCAATGGCCCACAGTCACGCTGCTAGTCATGCTGTAGGTCAGGCCTAAAAGCCCAGGCTTCTGGCTTCAAGGTCATGTCCTTGCCTTTCTCTCCTCCTTGGAGCTAGTTTCCCACCCTTCAAGGCTGCCCAGAATAAATCCCTTTGGAGGTCCGGGGGGAGGGGGGGGGTGGGGGGGAGCACCTCCCCAGAGCTCCAAACCTCCCCCAGCTTCCCTGCCCCAGCCTCTTGCTTACCTTCCTTTGGGCTTACCCTGGGGGGGGGGGGGGGCAGAGGGACAGGTTCCCATCCCACAGAGAATGTGGCTCCTAGAAGCCACCACCATATACATTCCTTCCTTTATCCTCTCTGCCACCCCTCCCCATCTTTGGAACAGATTCCTCCCATTTCATTTTCCAGCAATTTCTGCCAAGCAGGGCTGTTTGCCAACCCCAAGTGGAAAGTGTCTAATAATTGGCTCTCCTCTCCCCAACCACGTGGCCCCACCCACCCACCCACCCAGTGCACCCACGGAGCCCTGCTCAGACTTGCCCCATGGGCTGTAAACAGTGACTGCACCAGGTGATGGGTGGGGGCAGCCACATGCACCTCAGGGCAGCAGGAGGTGACTCAGGCTGCAGGCTCCTCCTGCACTCTCCCCGTGCTTGCTCCACCCGCCAGTACGGCCTTCCGAAAGGGTTTGGGGGACCCAGTAAGGAAGGGGCCCACAGCTTCCCCAAAAAACAGCCAAACACCTTTGCAAGGAACCCCTCCTCCCAGAAAAGGCCCCCAATCAGAACCAAGGGGCAGGAGGGAAGGTTCCTCTACTCCCTGGCTGTGTGGCGTTGGATAACTCACTCACCCTCTCTGAGCCTTGATTTCTCATCTGTTCTATGGAATCAATAATACTTCCTACTGCAGGTAACAGTGCTGGCCCAAAGCACTTAATAAATACCCGCCTTTTCTAAAAATGGTGCCATACATGTCAGCTCCACTCCCACCTTTCTCTGAGCCTCAGCTTCCTCCTCTTTAAAAGCAGATTCTTCTGACATTGGGCATTAACGGCGATTGTGAAGCTAGAAAGGATGACGGGCGTCAACACTCTGAAGTCCTATAAAAATACAAGCTGTGCTTGCCAGGCTTCCATAAGAACCCACCCCATCCCAAGACCTCACTGCTTTCAGAGCCCACAGTACATTGTGCCAGATAGTCTCCCATGGCCCTCCACAAAAGCAGGCAGGGAGATGTTCCCCGAAGCCCACCCTGGGCCAGACTCGGGGCTCCATTCACCCCCGTGTTTTATCCTCGCCACCCCCGGGGGAGGCTGGTGTTAGATGCCCTGCTTTGCAGAAGCGGAAACCGAGGTCCCGCGTGGCTAGGAAAGTTACCCGGTGCCTCTGGGCGGGAAAGCGGCAAGGCCAGGACTCACGCCCAGGTTTGTCCGACGACAAAGCCAGGCCTGTGCCTCCACCCCTGAACAGCGAGCCCGGGTCAGCCTGCCAGCCCCTCACTGATGCAATCCTGCACCCCAACCCTGGCCCGAGCAGGCTCAGACAGAGGCCGTGGCGGGGAGCAGAGCCAGAAGCCCTGCCCCAGAGCGGGCCGGGGCAGGCCGGGGCAACGGAGTCACAGCCCGCGAGGCGCGGGTGCCAGGACCCCAGTGGGCGGGAGGCCGGAAGACAGGCGCTGAGGGCGCAGTTTCCCGCCGACTGTCCCAGTTTCCAGGCTGGGGAGGCAGGGGCAGGGCAGCCCCCCAGAACCCAGCGGCTGGGGGATCCCTACCTTCTACCACCCTTGCTGGGTGTCCACCCTCACCAGGGGGAGAACCACAGGGCACCCTACTTCAGGGAGCAACGTGGTCTGGGGACAAGGGTCCTGGGGGCCCCCACTGGGGAATGGAGAGAGCTTTGCAGAGCCAGCAGCCTGGGCCACGTGACAACCAATCACGGTGCCCCAGCCACCAGGGTGGCCCCGGCTGAGGAGCTCCACACTCAGCAGTGCCACAACCCGTGCCTGCCCTCAGCAGCTCCTGCTCCAAAGCAAAGCTCGCAGACTCTAAGGTGGACCAGACCCCGGGTTCTTGCTGAAATGGCAGGTTCAGGTCCAGTAGGCCTGGGGTGGAGCCTGAGGTTCCATTCATCAGACCCGCTCCCAGGGCGGTGTGCTGCTGGCCGGAAACAGTGATGATGCCCCATGCGCGCTGGGATCACCCGGGGAACAACCAACCTGAAGCCTGAGCCCACCCGAGAGGTGCTGGTCCCTTGGGTGCGCTGGAGCCTGGGCATCAGGACTTCAAATGCTCACCGGGTGGCCCTAGGGTGCAACCGAGCCTTGGCCGTAGGTAGAAACAGCTCTCACACGCCCTGAGGAAGAGAGGCATCAGACGAGGTGACTGGCACACTCGGGTAAGCGGTCATTTCAGCCTAGAGTGCGGGGCATACACCAAAGCTTCCTATGTGTCCGTTTAAAAGGGCTTCTGGCCGAAACCGGTTTGGCTCCGTGGTTAGAGCATCGGCCTGCGGACTGAGAGGTCCCGGGTTCGATTCCAGTCAAGGGCATGTACCTTGGTTGTGGGCACATCCCCAGTAGGGGTGTGCAAGAGGCAGCTGACCAATGATTCTCTCTCCTTGATGTTTCTAACTCTCTGTCCCTCTCTCTTCCTCTCTGTAAAAAATCAATAAAATATATTTTTAAAAATAATAATAAATAATAATAATAAAAGGGCTTCCTATGTGCCAGGCTCCGTGCTGGGCCCCGACATTCCTCTCATTTGATCCTCGCTGTAACAGCAGGGGGCTGGGCACGGCCACCCCCATTTTCCAGGTGTGGAAACTGAGCCTCTCCAGGCAAGGTCGTTGGCCAAGCCCTCTCAGATAGCAGGCGGCAGAGCCACGTCTGAACCCAGGTCCGTCTGCCTCTGAGGCCTGCTTCTTCCCTGCATCTCCCACCCGGGGGAAGAGGCCCCAAAGCGGGTGACGTTGGCACTGGGCCCTGCGGTGGAGCCGAATGCTAATTCTGAGTCCAATGAGTGCCTCCTCCTCTCTGACCCTGTTTCCCCGTCGACAGAAAAGAGGGGGGAACCACGCCGGAACCAGTTTGGCTCAGTGGATAGAGCGTCAGTCTGCGGACTGAAGGGTCCCAGGTTCCATTCTGGTCAAGGACAGGTACATTGGTTGCAGGCACATCCCCAGTGCGGGGTGTGCAAGAGGCAGCTGATTGATGTTTCTCTCTCATCGATGTTTCTAACTCTCTATCCCTCTCTCTTCCTCTCTGAGAAAAATCAGTAAAATATACCTTTTTAAAAAAAAAAATAGTAAAGAGGGGGGACCAGACAGTCTCCAGGACCCTCCCAGCATTCCTGTCCTGTGAGCGCAGGCTCCCGGTTTCACCAGCGCTCTGCTTCTCTCCCCAAAGATATCAAGTACATCGAGGTGACCTCCACCAGATCGAGGTACCACGAGGGTCCTCAGCGCTGCTCCAGCCCATCTGCCACCCCGCCTTCCGGCTCCCCGCGCAGTGGCGGCCTCCTCCTCTCCAGAGACATCCCCCGGGAGACGCGAAGCAGCAGCGAAAGCCTCATCTTCTCCGGGAGCCAAGGCGTTGGGCACCAGCGCCCTCCGCCCCCGTCCCAGTCCGGGGCTCTGTCCTCCCACCCCCCGCCCTCTCCCAGCATCTCCATCCCCTGCACGCGGAGCCGGGCCCCGGGCCCCCACGGCTTTGGCTCCCCTGGGACGGCTTCTCCAGGCGGGGAGAGGGGCCCAGGAGGCAACGGGGTCCCTGTGGTGTCTGCCCGCCCAGCGACTGATGTCAGCTACGTATTCGGAAGGTAGGCCACTCCCACTGTCACTTCTTTTTTTTTCTTTTCTTTTTTTTAAAAATATATTTTATTGATTTTTAACAGAGGAATGGAGAGAGAGAGAGAGAGCTAGAAACGTCGATGAGAGAGAAACATTGACCAGCTGCCTCTTGCACACCCCCTACCGGGGATGTGCCTGCAACCAATGTACATGCCCTTGACCGGAATCGAACCTGGGACCCTTCAGTCCACAAGCTGACGCTCTACCACTGAGCCAAACCGGTTTCGGCCCTTTTTTTTTTTTTTTTTTTTTTTTTAATATATATTTTATTGATTTTTTTTACAGAGAGAAAGAGAGAGGGATAGGAAACTATAAACATCAATGAGAGAGAAACATCGACCAGCTGCCTCCTGCACACTCCCTACTGGGGATGTGCCTGCAACCAATGTACATGCCCTTGACCGGAATCGAACCCGGGACCTTTCAGTCCACAGACCGACACTCTATCCACTGAGCTAAACCGGTTTCCACCCCACTATAACTTCTGATGTATAACACACATACACACACACACACACACTCCCATCATAGAGAGGCAGCCTGCTGTGTCAGCAAAATCTGGGCATGCACCAAAAATAAAAGTAGCTTCTTTTATGCCATCACCACCCAGTTCTCTGCAGGACCGCTGCCCCCCACACAGATTCCAAAGCCACTGTGCCAGGGCAGTCCCTGGCAAGGAGACTGGGATCCCACGGCCATGCCCACTGGCCCCGGCCTCTAAGCTCGGGGAGAGGTCTGGCTGGACGCAGCGCTGGCCTCCTCCCCTCTCCAGCTGGGGATTCCCTCTGCATTAGCGCGGACAGGGTCCGGGCCAGGTCCAGCCTGGGTGCAGGGCTCCGGGGGTGATGGGATGAGGGAGAGACCGGTGTGACAACTCAGACCTGCCTCGCTGGGAAAGCAGAGGAAACCGCTCCAGCCCACATGCCCTGTGGAGGGTCAGCTCACTTGGCTCCTTGAATTGACCGAAGACTGCAGTGCAGGGACATTTTTGTCTCTCTCAGTACCCCGTGGGGATGGGGTGGGCATGCCTTTTGCTCTGGGCTGACAGGAGTGGAGTCTATAGTATCTTATTTGACCGAAGCCGTAGGTACCCAGGTCACTAAATGACAGGGCCTGGCTCTGGCCCCCGCGCGTCCACCTCCCCGCCCTCACCCTCTGCCCACCTGGTGCTCTCTCCCTGCAGCAGCCAGTCCCTCCTCCGCTCCAGCATCTCCAGCCCACAGTCCTCCTCTCAGTCCTTGGAAAGCCCAGCCAGCTCCTCCTCCAGCCTCCACAGCCTCGGCCCAGCGTCCCCGTGCACGAGAGTCGGTGACCACCAGGTCCCCAGCAGCACCACCCCAAGCAGGGCCCAGCCCCTGGCCAAGGAGCATGCCAGCAGCTGCCCCCCCTCCATCGCCAACTCCATGGTGGACATACCCATCGTGCTGATCAACGGCTGCCCGGAACCAGGGTCCTCCCCGCCCCAGCGGATCCCAGGACCCCAGGACTTGGTGGGACCTGGGGCTGCTTCTGCCAGCAGCCCCTGTCCAGCCACCAGGAGCCACAGCCAGACCCTGCCGGAGACCTCTCCTGCCGCGTCCCCCCACGGTACGTGGTAAGCCAATGCCTCGAGCACTGGAAGGAAGTGACTCGGATTCGGGGTGCAGGGTGAGGCCACTGAGAGTAATTTGGGGCCAGATTGCAAAAGGCCTTGAACACCAAGCTTAAGCGTCGATTTTTTAAAATGTATATTTTTTAAAATATATTTTATTGATTTTTTACAGAGAGGAAGAGAGAGGGATAAAGAATTAGAAACATCGATGAGAGAGAACCATCGATCAGCTGCCTCTTGCACACCCCATACTGGGGATGTGCCTGCAACCAAGGTACATGCCCCTAATCGGAACTGAACCTGGGACCCTTCAGTCCGCAGGCCGATGCTCTATCCACTGAGCCAAACCAGTTTCGGCAAAAAATATATATATATTTTTTTTATAGATTTCAGAGAGGAAGGGAGAAGGAGAGACACACAGAAACATCAATGATGAGAGAGAATCATTGATCCGCTGCTTCTTGTACGCCCCACATTGGGGACTGAGCATGAAACCTGGACATGTGCCCTGACCAGGAATTGAACCGTGACCTACTGGGTCACAGGTCGATGCTCAACCACTGAGCAACACTGGCCAGGCCTAAAGAGTAGATTTTACCCTTTAGGCTACGGGAGACCATCGGAGGGTCCCGAACAGGAGCGGGATGGAGTCAGAGGCTCGGGTCAATGGATCACGCTGGCAGCTGCGTGGGCAGGGAGAGCCATTTCTGTTTGGTTCTGTTTGGGCTTTTATGGTGAAGTGATCCAGACAAGCTGAGACGGAGCCTGCAACAGGCCGGGGCCGGGGGTGGAGGAGAGAGGACGGAGCCAGGAGACCCTCGGGATAGGGAAGCAGCAGGCTCCATGACTAACGCGTGAGAAAGAGGGGGAGAGTCAGTCAGTCGTAACGCTGACGTTGGTGGGTGACGAGCAGAGCAGACCGAGGTGGGGGGACAGGGGAACGGAGACAATGCATTCCGTTCAGACAGCGAAAACCACAAACCAGCAAACACCCCACTTCCCGGAGTCTGTGACTGCAGGCGTCCAAGAGAGCGGAGCAGCCGACACAGGCTGAGCCTCAGCACCCGGGGCTGCTCTCCCGTGAACTGAGCCCCTGCCCAGCCCCGGGGACACTGTCCCTCCTCACTCCCCATCACTCTCCAGGGCCTGCTTCTCTGCCCTCCCTCGGCCACAGGATGGGTGTCAAGGTGACTCCTGGCAGGAGGGGGTGGGAATGGGATGGATTCTGACTCATGGGCTGCTCAGCCCCACTCAGGAAGCCATGTCAGTGCAAGCAAATTACGCTGCACATACGGCCTTGAATCTGCTCTGAGGGCAAATCATTTGCAGGTTTTAGTACTGTTTTGGTGAGCTACACTCAACAGGCCACAACACACCTTTTCAAGATGCTGAACTTAAGAACCACGGCTCTCTGCCCTCGGGATCCAGAAAATGGGTGTTTTGGCATCTCAAAGAGCACATGTACTCAGCGTGGCTAGTCCCCTCCGGTCTGGGGATGCCCCAGGATAACCCTAATTATACCCTGGGATCTTATCAGATTCTGCAATATTCTCACAACAAAATCCACTGTAACTTCATAGGCTATTGGAGCATAAAAGACCCTCCGAGGGGTTTTTGTTTGTTTTTTTGGGGGGGGGTGTTTTTTTTTTTTTAATATATTTATTTCAAAGAGAGCTAGAAACATCAATGATGAGAGAGAATCATTATCAGCTGCCTTTTGCACACCCCACACTGGGGATTGACCCCCCAACCTGGGCCTGGGCCCTGACCAGGAATCAAACCGTAACCTCCTGGTTCATAGGTCACCGCTCAATCACTGAGCCACACAGGCCGGGCCTCAGAGGGGTTGGAGTTCACTCCCCTCTGGGCTTTAGGAGCGAAACGTGTGTCCCAAACCAGAGTCAGGAGTCTGCCTCCTGGCTTCTGAGCACACGCTGGTCTGCCCAGACCTGCTGTTTTCCTTTCCTTCTATTTTCTTTCCCAAACGAATAGGTCCCTAAGCAAGCTGTAGGGTGAGTGAGGGGGAAGACAGTGTGAAATCAAACCAATGCTGCATCTCAGATTCACTTATTGATCCCCTACTTCAGTCCCCAGCAGGCAACACCGGATGCGGATGCGAGACACTACATTGAGATTTTTATCTATTTGCTTTTGATACCAAAGATAAAGGGGAGACTCCTAAACCCTAGATGCACCACGCCCTAAAGTTCTTCTGTGGAGTTTGCCTCGTTAGGCAGTTGGAGACGCCATGGGGTTGGGGGTGGGAGAGGGTGGGTTGAATGGGCAGGTCTCTCAGCTCCCCTCTGTCCAGCCTTCAGGGTTCCCCTTCTCTGTCTGTCTCCAGGCCCCCCAAGGGACATGCAGCCCACCATGAAATTTGTAATGGACACATCCAAGTACTGGTTTAAGCCCAGCATCACCCGAGAGCAAGGTAAAGGAAAACAGTGTTCCGGGGGACGAGGCTGGGGAATCAGAGGGGAGGGCCCGTGGCAGGTCCAGGGGAGGGCAGTGTCCTGCAGACCTCATGACCTGAGGAAATAGGGACTGCAGCAGCCATGGCAGAGGTTAGACCACAGAAAGGACTTCCTGGGAACAAAAGGTGATCCTGTCACACCTGCTGCCCGATGGCCCTCTGGGGCTGGGGGACGGGGCTGGCGCGTGGGGCGGGAACGGTCTCTGACCCAAGGATTGTTCCAGCAATCGAGCTGCTGCGGAAGGAGGCGCCGGGGGCCTTCGTGGTGAGGGACAGCTCTTCGTTCCGAGGCTCCTTCGGCCTTGCCCTGAAGGTGCAGGAGGCCCCTGCACCTGCCCAGAGCCGATCAGGTACGCACCGTCCCTGTCCTCCCCCAGGGCCTCTCCGAGGCGAGGGGGTGTGGCGGGTTCTAGTCCCAGCTCCGCGGCTAGCTTGCCGGGCATCCTGGGGCCAGGCCTACGGTGACTCCTGGACAAGGGTCCACCTTGGTCCTTCCAGATGCCCTCCAGCGCCCAAGGCTGTGGGAGCAGCTCCTTGCACGGTGCCCTGAGCCACCTCCACATCATCTTCCCATCATCTCCCAGCGGGAGAGGAGGGGGAGGAAGACCTAGGCCCTCTCCCGGCTTCTCTCTCCTCTGGGGACCCACCTCCTCCCAGACAGTGTGAAATCCAACAAAGGCTGCATCTCAGATCCACTTATTTATCCTGAGGGGACCTGATGTAACACGTGTGTGTGACAGCTTACGGCCCACTGTCCCATGGTCTCACTCACACAAAACACATCGACGGGCACCCCCACCTGCCCCGGGCACTGTGGAAGGCACCAGGGTCCCGCCCTGGGGAAGGAGATTACACACAGGCCACTGCAGGGTGGGGTACCAGGGTGGCAGCCGCTCCCTAAACCCCATGATCCCAGCCCTGGCCCTCAGGGAGCCTCCAGACTGATGGGGGAGCAAACAGATGAGGTAACTGAGGCACCAAGAGTGAGTGGGTGACACACACACACTCCCGTCCCCCAGAACCAGTAAGTGATGAGTGAAAAGCCAAGGATGAAAACCCAACTGGGATTGCTCTACCTTGTGTCTCTCCGACCACAAAAGAAAGTGCCCCCGGGGGTGTTGGTTATCAGGGAAGCCTCGCCCAGGAGCCAGAGAGAGGAGGCCAGGGGGCGAGGTGGGTTCTAGTCCCAGCAGGGCCCATTGCTCAGCCTCCCAGGCCAGCGGGGCTGGGCAAGGACATCTGGTGGAGAATAATAGGGCCTGGGAGGAAGCGAGGATGGGGAAAGAAGCCAGGTGGAAGAGGTTTGACCTAACTCGTTATCGGAAAGCATCCCTGAGAGCTCTTCAGACCCAGAGAGAGGCCCGCTGGGGGGACCGGGACCGGATGCGGAAGCCCCTGAGCAGAAGGGTTGGCGCCTCCTTTACGGGAGGCCTCAGAGACGGGATCCCCAGAGGCTGGAGGATGGGGATGAACCCCCGGATGGGCCCGGAACAGGCAGATCCGGAGGGCTAACCCTGGGCTCCGGTCCCTCCCCCACTGACACACTCTCTCCCCTCTCTGTCCAGGAGAGGACGGCAGTGACCTCATCCGCCACTTCCTCATCGAGTCGTCCGCCAAAGGGGTGCATCTCAAAGGGGCCGACGAGGAGCCCTACTTTGGTGAGCAGCAGGCCCTGGGGTGGGACTGACCGTCAGGGCCAGGAGGGGGGGCGGGGGGACTTCTCACCCATGGCCACCTGTCTCCTTGCAGGGAGCCTCTCCGCCTTCGTGTGCCAGCACTCCATCATGCCCCTGGCCCTGCCCTGCAAGCTCGCCATCCCGCACAAAGGTGGGTGTGGGCCCCGCGGAGGCCGCATGGGGTGCTGGCTCTCTTTGTTCTCACTGGAAAGGCTCCTGGGGGGCCCCATCTCTCCCTGTCTGTGGATGATGTTGGCATCATGGTCCATGGCGCGTGCTCCACGGCCCGTCAACATCTCCACTTCCTGGCTGTGACAATGTGTCTCTCTCTCCAAGCCTCGGTCTTCTCATCTGTGAAATGGGGACAGCCATCGTCATCATACCTACTTGTCGGACCGGTGTGAGGATAAAAGGAGATCGCTCTGGCCAGGCTCTTAGCACGATGCCCGGCACCGGGCGGATGTTTGAGAAAGAGTGGCTTTCTCTGAGAGGATGGAAGGGGCACACTATCGGCCGGTTTGGGGAGATTTGGCGGTTGTTGTCTTCTTCCCAGTCTAACATTGATTGAGAGAGGACCCCTGACTCCCTCATTCATCCGTAGCCCCCCGCAGCCCGTGCAGTAGACGTTGCCGTCATCCCCATTTCACAGATAAGAAAAGCGTTCAGTGACCCTCTCAAAGGCACACAGTCAGACGTCACGCCCAGACCAGGAAGCCCCCTCCAGAGTCTAGAGCCCAGCTGCCCTCCCTCCCCCAGACGGAGCGGGCCATCTCCTCTCGGGTGTGCAGGGGGAGCAGCAAGGGGGCTTCTGGGAGAGGAAGCAAGAAGTGGGGAGCCTCTGGTGGAGGGAGGGCGACAGTCTCCCTACTTTCAGCAAAGCAAGGCTGGGGTTGGTGTGGCCCAGAAAGAAGTGAGCGGGTCAGGGCCTCCGGGGGCCTCTGAGGACCGGGTCCCTGCAGCTGTCCAGGAAGGAGGAGTGAGGAGTGAGGAGGGGGAGGAGGATCAAAGGGCTTGCAAGCTGGGCGCTGGCTGGGGAGCCCAGAGGGGCCCCGTTTGCCTGATTACAGTAATCACACCTGGTTTCTGATCCAGTCACTTCCTGGAGGCGTGGGTGGGGGTGGGGAGCGTGTTCAAAGGGATTAATGAGGCCTGCTCTTCTGAGAGGGGTCCATTCACTCCGCCCCGGCCCCTTGGGGCCTGTTCCTTTACTTTGGCTCAGAACTGGGAGGCGGAGACGGTGCCTTGGACCCCGCCGCAGACGGCAGGGCCTCCAGCCTGAAGCGATCTGCGGGTAAGTGGTGTGTGGGAGGCTCCAGGCTTGGCTGTACCCCCGGAGGGCGCCTCCCAGCCCTGCACGCACGCACACGCATGTCCACACGTGTTTCCCATCACAGCTGCATTTCTTCATCTTTAACAAGGTGGCACATTCCTTCCCCTCTCCGTAAACCAGGAGATCAGAGGCTGCAGGGAGGGGGCCAAGGGGAAGAGGGGGCCCGAGAAGAGGGGGCTGGCGAGGCTGGCACCGCCTCCTCCACACTCCTGGGCACACGCACACGTTCTGGGGTCTCCACAGTGCCGCTCTGGAGCTTGTTGCTGGGTCTGCCATCCTCTGTGGGGGTCCTGGGGTTTCCACAGGGGAAGGTCCCGCCTCCTCACACCCAGGGGCCAATCACAGGTCAGCACTGGTCTGAGTGACAGCTCCTACTCTGTGCCCTTGAGCACAAAGGTCCCCTCCCCATGCTTGTCTTCTCTTGCTTCTCTCCACAATGAACCAGGGCTCCAAGGGCAGGTGGGGGAGGAAGCGGCCCCAGCCGTGGGCCAGGACAGAAGGAAGGTTTGCCGGGACGTCCCTATGCGCAGGGCAACATTCCCTCCCTTCCCCACCCCCTACTCCAGAAGGCAGTGCTGAGCAACGAATGAGTCCTCCGGGGTTGGCCACCAATCACAGTCACCCACACGGTCTCGGTCCTGCCTGGGGCTCACAGAGGCCTCCTCCTGGGTTTCCGAAGACGAAAGGCCACCCTGTCTGTCCCCTGGCTCTGGGCAGAGGAAGGGCCCGGGGCCTGGGTGGCCTCGCCCACCCCATGGACCCTGGCAGGGCCCCAGTGCAGTGTGTGCATCCCACAGGCTGCCACGTCCTGTACCTGAGCTCTGTGAGCGTGGAGACGCTGACCGGAGCCCTGGCGGTGCAGAAGGCCATCTCCGCCACCCTGGAGAGGGACGTCCTCCCCACGCCCACCGTGGTCCACTTCAAGGTCACGGAGCAGGGCATCACCCTGACCGACGTCCAGAGGAAGTAAGAGACTTCCCTTCCCCCGGGGTGGCAGGGCCGGGCGGGGTGAGCGGGAGGGGATGGCCAGGGTGGTTATGGATCAGCGAGGAAGGCAGAGTTCAGGGTCTGGGACGCAGCGGGGTCTGGGACATGCTGAGTGACTCCAGGCAAGTCCTCTGCCTTCGCTGAGCCTCCCGCCCATGACCTCCTGCCACCCAAGTGTCCTTTCACTGTGGCCGATGCAGATGGGATCAAGGGGCATTCACTGGTCATCGACTAAGTCTGTCCCCGCGGACAGAGCATCCGCCAGCCACTCTGGCTGACCACTGGGACCCAGGGGGACGCGGTCCTGCCTTCCCTGGGCTCAGGGATTTACAGACAAACACGTAATTCCCATCCTCAGATATAATGACTGGGGGAGCAGAAAGGGGCTAGAACACCCTGGGATGGGCTCTCACCAGTTCCCCTTCTCTCCTGCCTCCTTCCTCCCAGGGTGTTTTTCCGGCGCCATTACCCCCTCAGCACCCTCCGCTTCTGTGGCATGGACCCCGAGCAACGGAAGTAAGTTCAAGGTTGGACCCCATGGAGAAGGCTGGACAGGGCCTCGGTGCCCACTGAAGCTTCTGTCTGGCTCTAGATTGGGATCCCAGACAGAGCCCATGAACCTCAGGGGCCAGAAGCGACAGGAGGAGGGGAAGGCGTGGGGAATGGTGGGGGTGGGGACACAGCTGGCCATTCTCCCCCTGTCAGCTGGAGTCCACGGCATGAAGCAAAGCCTCGGTACTCACTACTGTCCACGTTTCCTTTCACAGGTGGCAGAAGTACTGCAAGCCCTCCTGGTAAGGCCTTCCTGTCTGCTCCGTCAGTCTCCCTGCGTCAGGGCCCCCCAACCGGACATGGGGAGGGAGTTAGAGAAGGAGGGAGGGCCCGCCTTCCCTTAGGAGCCCATGGTTTTGGTGGGGGCGGCGCGGCTCTGACTTCAGGGACCCTTCATCTGTCCGGAGGCTCCTGTCCGGTGGCCAAAACACGTCCTTGCTCTCCCCACGCTGCTGGGTAACACACAGGTCCCGTCTATGCTCAGGGAGCCCCACTTCAAAATGAGGAAAACCCAGATCTTGAAGGCAGGGATCTCTCCCAGTCTGGCAGGGGAGACCCGCCCACCCCTCCCCGAGAGCTCCCATTGGAGTGAGGTGCCGGGGCCACTTGGCTAGGGAAGGGGCAGGGTGGAGCACTGTGGGCCGAGTTCCCCCCTGGTGCCCCCCTGGAACCCCCTCCTCACTCAGGCTGCCCTTTCCCACCAGGATCTTTGGGTTTGTGGCCAAGAGCCAGACCAACGCCCAGGAGAACGTGTGCCACCTCTTCGCGGAGTACGACACGGTCCAGCCAGCCTCCCAGGTCATCAGCCTGGTGGGGGCTCTGCTGCAGGACACAGAGAGGATGTAGGGGGCTCCCCCTGCACGTGCTCCCAGATATCCCAAGGGAATCGCACAGACGTCCCCTTCTCCCCCTGAACAAGTGGCTGTAGCCACACTGATGGACCAATGCATTGAACTGAAGGAGAAACCCTTAAACCCACTATGACCTTCATCACTGACCTTCATCCAGACACCCCCCCTTCCCAGGCCTCAGTTTCCTCATCCATGAAAGGAGGCCAATAGACAGGGTCAGCTGTTCTTCTCAGACTTTGGGGGGATCCGGACAAGGTCCCTGTGATCCTGAAGCACACCCTCCTCTGAGGGCCCCCACCTGAAAACAATCTCGGAGAACACTGACTCCATCAGCCTGGATGCTACTGACACAGCAGCCTGAGTTAGAGACCCGTGCCCCTGTTTCGTGGCAAACAACAGGTGCTGGGTCAGACCAAGGGGCCCTGGCCAGGGCTGGGCTGGGAGCAGACAGATGCAAGGATTCAGGGCCAAAGGGGAGATGGACTGACTCTCTTTCCCTCCATAGTTGTTCCTTCCCCCACTTCCCTAACGGCTTGTCGGGCAGCTGTTCCCAGGATTCTCCGGGCCAAGTGGCCACGGCTGTTAGAGCAGCTTAGCAAGAACTTACCCCTGTGGGCAGAGCTGACCCAGCCCTCCTCACATTCTTGACGTCTAATCCCCTCCAAGGCCAATGAATGTCAAAGCCCTATCTTTTCTTTTAATTTTTGGTAAACAAGTGCCCTCTCCCTGGTGTCACACTGCCCTGGTGTTGCTTGTGTAACCCACACCTGTCATGGGCACAGCGAGATCCCAGCTCTCCAAGGCAGACACAAGGGTCAGCTCCACTCTTTCTGAGACCCCTGCCTCCAAACACACACACCACACACACACACACACACACACACTCACACACACACACACACACACACACACACGTCCTCTATAGTGGTGTGGCGTCAGCTAGGCCTACAGCCACAAGGAGGCAGCAGAGAGTCAGGAATGCAAACAGGCAGCCACTCCAAGAGGCTTGGAGAAACTGGGAGGTCTTTCCCACCCAATCCCAACCCCCCTCCCACCAAATTCTCCAGAAGCTGGGATAGTTTTTCTAGCAGGCCTGGGGTCCTACGGAAACCACGCCATGAGCATGGAAAGGGAGGCTCGGAGAAGCCCTCTTTTGCTCTATGAGGAACGAGTACCCGCCCCCTCCCAGCTGCGGATCTTGCCAGAGCATCATTGTCTTTGGCCAAAGTTGGGCCTGAGGGATTATGGTTTCAACCCAAGAAACCAAACTGGGCTGAAGCGGCCCTGGGCTGGTGGAACCGGCTGAGACCAGCCCACCCAGCCTGTGGTCGGGCACTGCCCCACCCCCGGAGACCACAGGATGCTAGACAAGGTTCTCAAGGTCACAGTGCTCAAGTTCTCAAGGTCAAAGCCTGAGGGGCTGGCAGAGAGCCCTCCATATACCCGTGGGTGCCTGTGTAGCTCCCATCACTGAAAATAAAATAAAGTCTGTTTTTGCACAACAGTTGGTTCTGGGGCATTCAGGACTGTTCTCCCAAAGATGGGGACAGAGAAGGGAATCTGAGTTGGCAGGTGCCAGCTGTGCCACACTCCCTCCCACACCCCTGACCTCATCAGTACAATCTCCTCCAGCACCCACCTCATAAACCATGTCGTGTCCCGCACATGCCCAACACACACATCTGTTCTTCATGACCCCTTTGCTGTCACTCCGCCAAGAGGACAGAGCTGGGATTTCCCCTGGGTGCCGGGGCCAGAAGGGTAGAAACAGGGAAAACAGACTTTACCCATTTGTAAAGAATGAGGGCCATGTTACCAAACAGACAACATTTCAGTTGGGTCTTTAAGGATGACTAGGAGTTTAGCATGCAGAGGAGGAGAGAAATCAACTTTTATTGGGCGGGGATGGGATGGGTCCTGTGTACTAAGTACAATGTGAGACACATCACATATGCTTAATTCCATTTTACAGATTAGAAAACAGGTTCCTAGGGTTAACTTGCCCACATTCACCTGGCTAGGAAATGGCAGAGAAAGAGGATTCCAAATCTGAGCCTACCCTACTGGCTCAGCACTCTCAGACAAGCAGGTAGATGGACTTGTGTGTGGAGCCCACGGGTATGAAAGGGTATCACGTTTCGTGGAGCTAAAGTACATGGTACCCAAAGGATTCAGAAGAAAGAGGTCTCATCAAGAGCCCCGGGTACTGATTGGAAGACGGCAGGTAGGTAAATGCCGGTAACACCGGCTCCCACAACCACATCAAAATTACAACTAAAATACAGAACAACCATCATCCAGAACCGCTGGAAAGCTGGCTGAATGGAGGTCCTACAACTAGAGAAGTAAAGAAGAAAGCACACTGAGACTGGTAGGAGACTCAGAGGCCCTGAACAGGCTGGTCCAGCAGCCACATGTGCCACTTTTTTAATCGGAGAGAAATCGTCCCTGCAGAGGCCACTCAGAAGAGCAAGGAGTCCCAGCCCCACCCCAGCCCAGGTCAAAAGAAGTCCCTATGGGCAGTAAGAACTATGAGTCGTAAAAACTAGTGCAGATTAAGGCTCAGTGACACAGAGGCTGCTGGAGACCCAGTTGTTTCTCTTAAAGGGCTGCACCACGAACTAAACTTACAAGGTCCTGCTTCCTCTGAGCTCCAGCACCAGGGCGAGGCACTGGGGAACACAGACACATGCAAGAAGGAACTGGATTGTCTGGCATCAGGGCAGGAACTCCAGGGGAGCTTTCTCCCTAACAGAGGTGCTCGCAGGGATCGTTGTTCCTCTGCTGGGATCTCCCCAGTTGCAGGCCTGACTGGCAGCCATTTCTGTTTGCTCCACCTGGTGATTCCCTCAGACCATCTCCTGATCCAATTTACAATCTCACTCAAGCTGCATGCAGCTGAGCTTTTGCATATGAATGGCCTTTTCTTGCTCAGGGTAAAATCTCTCAAACAAGCTGTAGCTGGGTCAGGGAGTCCCAAACCTATCAATAAAAGGCCCAAGACCTGGCACAGCCTGCCTTGTTTCATAACTGGGACTCATCTGGGCACTTCCAAACCCCATACAAAGAAGAGGAGTCTGCAGATCTCTACCTTCTCACTGTTCACACAGCATTTCCTCAGTGTGTGTCCCGGAGAGAGAGAGAGATCTCTCCCTTCTTGTCAAGTCACCAATCCTATCAGATTAGGAACACACCTTAGGACCCAGGTTCCCCGTAATTACCTCTTCTTCTTTTTTTAATATACTTTATTGATTTTTTTATAGAGAGGAAGACAGAGAGATAGAGAGTTAGAAACATGGATGAGAGAGAATCATCGATCAGCTGCCTCTTGCACACCCCCTACTGGGGATGTGCCCGCAACCAAGGTACATGCCTCTGACCGGAATCGAACCCAGGACCCTTCAGTCCACAGGCCAACACTCTATCCACTGAGCCAAACCGGTTTCGGCCCCTTAATTACCTCTTAAAGTCCTATCTCCGAATACAGTCATACTGTGGGTTAGGGCTTCAACATGTGAATCTGGGGCACACAGCTCAATCCACAGCACCCCTACTTCTTTCCCAGCCATGTTCCCACCCCGACAGTCCCAGTGCTGACCAGGCTTGGCCCTCAGCCCACAGCAAAGCAGACTTTCTTCCTGACTCTGGGCCCTTGGAGCCAGCCAGGGATTGTATTATAACCGTTTTCTGGAAGGCAGCTCAGCCTTTACCCCTCTCCAGCCGGATCTTGCCAAAGAGGCCAAGTGGAGCTTGGCTTGGAGCGGGCCTCTGGGAAAAGGAGACAAGCCAGGAGGAGGGAACCAGAGATAAAAAATGAAGGGGGAGGGGAGGGAGAGTGTCACTCACATATCATTCATTCATTCACCAACCATGTGCTGAGCTCCCAGTTGAACAGTAGATGAGGCACCCCAGGGGTGACCAGGAGGTGGGGGAGAGCCTGCATGTGCCCAGGAGTGATGCTCTGTCCTCCATAGCATCCGATTTGACACCCGGTGAACACTGAGGCGGGATATATTCCTAGTTCAGCTCACTCCCACTGTGCACGCATGCACAAGTGCGTGCACACACACACACACCTTCCATCTTCTGCATCAATAGTTAGAAGCCTCTATAGTCAGCCAGATCTGGAAGCAGGAACCTGTGCCATTGACTAGCTGCCTGATTTAAGGGCAAGTCACTCCCCTGACATTGGACCTCCATTTTCCCAATGCAATACCCAACCCATAACGTTATGGTTAGGGGCCCTGGCCAGGTAGCTCAGTTGGTAAGAGTGTTGTCCCAATACTCCAAGGTTATGGGTTTGATCCCCAGTCATGGCACATACCAAAATCAACCAATAAATACATAAGTAATTGGAACAACAAATCAACGTCTCTGTCTCTCTCTTCCTCTCAAAGTAATACATAAAAAATAAAGTAAATTAAGGTGATGGGAAGCCTAAACATACACTGGACGTGAATGCACTTTGTGGCCTACTACACAGTACACATGTTTGTTACGCGAAAGAGAGCCCTGCTAGCTAGCACCTGAGGCATATGCCAATTGCCCTAACCGGTTTGGCTCAGTGGATAGAGAATCGGTCTGCAGACTCAAGGGTCCCAGGTTCGATTCCAGTCAAGGGCATGTACCTTGGTTGAGGGCACATTCCCAGTAGGAAGTGTGCAAGAGGCAGCTGGTAGATGTTTCTCTCTCACCGATGTTTCTAACTCTCTATCCCTCTCCCTTCCTTTCTGTAAAAAATCAATAAAATATATATTTTTTTAAATAAAAATAAGGTTTATGCCAAGGACCATGCCCCTGGAACGGGAGCTCCGTGGGGAAAACGACTCACCTTGTTCACCACTGACTCCCCTGAAACCGTGCCGGGCACACATCTGGCCTCCTACCGTATTTGTTGGGAGCTTTGCCATATGTTATCTCATTTGATCTTGACAGCAGACATAGTACTGTTATTTATCCTCATCTGATGGCTATGGAACTGAGGATTCGGTTAATTAAGTCAATGACCCAGTTTCCAACCATAAGAAGTGGTGAAGTGAGATTTGAAACCAAGCAATCTGGACCCAAACCCGGTGATGGTGATAAAAATGATGACATTTGGAGCTTAGGAAGCCAGCGGGTTAGTCCCCTGCCTCCTCCACATGCACCAAACCCCTCTTCTCCCCTCAGGGATCAGGCTCCCCGGCCCACCCAGGGGCCCACCTCAGGCTGCTCGGGATGCTGACAAAATCACCACCACCGCCGCCGCCCCCCATTTTCCACCTAGAATCTTCCATCAGGACCTCCTTCCTTCCTCCCAAACGATAGGCCTTGTTATTTAGTTTCCCCTTTCTGGTGCCGAAAGAACCCTGTTCCCCTTGGCTCCCGCTGGGAGATGGTACAAAAGAACATTGCCCTGTGTTCCAGTCTGCTTCTACCACCAGCTTGTTTATGCCTTCAGGCAAGCAATTTCCCATCTGTGTAATGGGTGATCCCTTACCTTTCCCTGCTTTCAGGCAAGAGCCATCTCCCTCTCTCTCCACCCCCGAGGCGGGGGCCCCCCACACACACACACCCCTCCAGCCAAGACACTGCCCTGCTCTCCCCAAAGCTTCCTGTGTGGTCCCTCCTCCCTTCTCCCTCCCACCCCAGAAATTCCGGGTCTGCCTCTGCTCTTCCCCCACTCTGGGCCTTCCCTGCACCTTTTGGCTTGTGCTGACCCTCTCTTCCTCTACCAGTGCCCGGAGTCCCCCACAAGCCACCAGCCATCCCCCCAGAGGCGCCCATCTGCAAACAGCACAACAGAAGGCTGACCCCCAGTTTGCAGGGCTATCTCCCTGCTTTAGAGCCCCAGGAACACTCGCTGCAGGGGTTTACAAGGCCATTTGAGGGTTAAAGGCAACCCTCCCCACACCCAAAAGAAAAAGTTTCAAAACCTTTCAAGGTCCACTTACTTACAAACCCTTCTGGGCCTGCTGCCCAGGACGTGGGCCTCACCCACCCTTAAATTCGAAGAAATCTCTTCTGGGGAAGGGTTTTGTGTTTACCACAGCCTCTCCCTCATCCGGGGCCTTTGGAAGCGGGGGTGGTCACAGGTCCTGGGAGCCCAGTTCAGGCTGGCCCCGCCTGACCCTTCAGGCCGCGACCAGACCAGGGGTCAGGGAGCAGTCACATGCCGCTTTGAATGAGAAGCCTTGAACTGAGGCTGAGAAATGGAGCTGGGAAACAGCTCAGCTAAAGGCAGTTGGGCTTTTTTTCTTAGGCTTTCGTGGGGGTTGAGCCAGGGAGGGGGAGCGGGCCGCGGCTCTATTGTCCGACTAACCTTCCACGATGCTGGAAAATTGAATTTATTTCCTGAGCAGTCTGATCCAATTTCCCCCGGGGGGGAACGAGGTTGGGCTGCTCCAAAGAGAAGCTTCTGGCTCTACTCAGAGACCAGACCCTGAGCCCTGGCCCAGCCGGCAGCACCCCACCCCTAACCCGATCCTCTCGCAGGAAGCCCCCTTTCACCTCGGCATGC